TCAGTCCCCGCCTGACTCCAGCAGCGCCCACAGGCAGAGCCAGCGCTGATTTAACACCCAGAGATATGACACCTGGCGCCAGGCTCATGGATCCGTCAGGCTCGTACAGCAGGGGAGAAGCCACTGTAGAGAATCTCAGCTGGATTTTTACTTTTCAGTATGTGCAATTTATGTCTAAGCTACAATAATTCAAAGTCTCCACAGTGTGGGCCCATAGATGATGAGCCTGGGAGCCTGCCCAGTTTGTTGCTTCGAGAAAGCTGAGCTCACCTGTCGCTGTGACACAGGCTCTTGCTGTGTGTACTCAGACCCTTGTACTGGAGTGACCCTCTTATAGAAGGGTGTTAAATCAGTGATGCTAAAGGATTTGGGCCCATCAAGACCCCTGCGCACGTCTAGGTAAGGGAAGAGGCTCTCATCGTGACCACCGCTCACCGAGGAGCCTGGATTTTTCATTCTGCTCCCATCTACCACATCCCTGCAGTTATTCTAATCGGCCAAGGAGGAAATGCCGTGTCCATGGGCAGGTCCTGAGTGTACATCTGGGAATGGTTTTTTGGACTCATACAGAAGGGGAGAAGCCCCTCCAGGCAGTCCTGGTAAGATTTTATTTCTCAGGAGAGGCACTTGGAATGTAAAACTTGATCCATGAATTCACACATTTTCCCCTTTTGCAAAATTTCTACCGCAAAGATTATACTTCTTACCATAGCATTGAAAACGACATAGAGATAATTTTGAAACAATATAGTGGAACAGGGCCAATTGTATGGTGATGGTTCTCGTGTATTCTAAGTTTTCACTTAGTATTAGAGAAAGGGTGAGCAGATATAAAAAGCTGAATAAGAATTATACAACAAGAAGGAAAACAATGTGACATGTGAGTGATAAAGCATTGATTATGGGTCTGGGGGTCTGGGTGGAAATGCGGGGTGAAGTCTGCAGGTCCTGGGGTCCATTTGAGGGGCCGAGCTCAGGTCACTCAATGAGACTTGGGACTTGTGACCCCGTTAGCGGAGGCAGCACGAGGCCCTGCCTGCGGCAGAAACACATCTGT